CCTCTGCTGTTTCTGCCTCCTGGCCATCTCCTTCAGCTTGCAGGCTGCCTCGCACCTCCTCCGCCTCCTCTCTCCCCGCGCGGCCGCCTCGACCCGCAGGCGTTGCCGGTGACACGAGCGTTGGCACGCGGCTACCAAACGGCGTAAGCGGGCCGTCAGCACCGAGCTGGCCGGCCACGTCACCAACTGGCCTGGAGGACCTTATGGGAAGGATATGGAGATAATGGGGTTAGGGAGAGATTTTTAGGAGGTCTTATGGGGGTTGGAGGGAGATTCGCCATCCTATTGGGGTCAACTCCACCCCATAAGGGTGGAGATCCCAATAGGGACATGTCCATCCCTTTAGGGTCATCTCCATGCCAGTGGGAACATCCCCATGCCAATGGGAAAATCCCCATCCCATAAAGGTGGAGACCCCAATAGGGACATCTCCATCCCTTTGGGGTCAGCTCCATCCCTTTGGGGTCATCTCCATCCCATAAAGGTGGAGACCCCAGTAGGGACATCTCCATCCCTTTGGGGTCAGCTCCACCCCAATGGGAACATCTCCACCCCAATGGGAAAATCCCCATCCCACAAAGGTGGAGACCCCAATGGGAACATCTCCATCCCTTTAGGGTCATCGCCATCCCATTGGGGTCAGCTCCATCCCATAAAGGTGGAGACCCCAATAGGAACATCTCCATCCCTTTGGGGTCAGCTCCATCCCTTTGGGGTCATCCGCATCCCATAGAGGTGGAGACCCCAATAGGGACATCTCCATCCCTTTGGGGTCAGCTCCATCCCTTTGGGGTCAGCACCATCCCTTTGGGGTCAGCTCCATCCCATAGACGTGGAGACCCCAATAGGGACATCTCCATCCCTTTAGGGTCATCTCCATCCCTTTGGGGTCATCCGCATCCCATAAAGGTGGAGACCCCAATAGGAACATCTCCATCCCTTTGGGGTCGTCTCCATCCCTTTGGGGTCAGCTCCATCCCTTTGGGGTTGTCTCCATCCCTTTGGGGTCATCTCCATCCCATAAAGGTGGAGACCCCAGTAGGGACATCTCCATCCCTTTGGGGTCAGCTCCATCCCATTGGGGTCATCTCCACCCCATAAAGATGGAGACCCCAATAGGAACATCTCCATCCCTTTTGGGTCGTCTCCATCCCTTTGGGGTCAGCTCCATCCCTTTGGGGTCATCCGCATCCCATAAAGGTGGAGACCCCAATAGGGGCATCTCCATCCCTTTGGGGTCAGCTCCATCCCATAGAGGTGGAGACCCCAATAGGGACATCTCCATCCCTTTGGGGTCGTCTCCATCCCTTTGGGGTCATCCCCACCCCCACAGAGATGAAAATCCCACACTGGGATCATCTCCACCCCAATAGGGTCACCCCATAGAGGCGAAGACCCCAAGGGCGCCGCGTCCCCAAACCCTTCCCACCCCATTACCTTCGTCCCCATCCACCACCGAGATCTCCTCGTCCAGCAGCATCAACGGGTCGCTCTGTAGGGACAAAAGGGCCACGAGGTGGGGAGCTGTAGGATCGCTGTAGGATCGTTATAGGATCGCTGTAGGATCTCTATAGGATCGGCCCCTGCTGCTCACCTCCTCATCCCCCTCCTTCGCCGCCCCTTGGAGGGGTTTGTATTCGGGGTCTTCGCAGTCCTTGTCGAAATCCATGCTGGGTTGGGGGGACAGAAGGGACAACGGTGACACCCCCGACCCCAAAAAACCTCGTTAAACGATCCCAAAAAAGCTAACGACCCCATTAAGCTACCCCGACCCTACAGAGGTGCCTCAGAACGTCCTGAGAAAGGTTGAACTCATTCCGGCCAACGCCGGTCGGTATTAGCATGGCACAGTCATCAGCGGCACCGCCCCTAATTAGGGACCTCGTTAGGGTTGGGGACTTCGTTAGGGTTGGGGGACATCCTTGGGGTTGGGGACCTCGTTAGGGCTGGGACCTCGTTGGGGACATCGTTGGGGCTGGGACCTCGTTGGGGTTGGGGACATCGTTAGGATTAGGGGACATCTTTGGGGTCGGGGACCTCATTAGGGCTGGGGACATCGTTGGGGTTGGGGACCTCGTTAGGGCTGGGTGACATTATTGGGGTTGGGGACTCATTAGGGTTGGGGAACATCGTTGGGGTTGGGGACCTCGTTAGGGCTGGGGACATCATTGGGGTTGGAGACTTATTAGGGTTGGGGACCTCGTTAGGGTTGGGGGACA